ATTTTTTTCTATTTAATAATATTTATTTCAAACTTGCAAGTTGAGTTAAAAGTTATGGTAATAAATTCATTTTTTTTTTATTAAAACTTTCACTTTAAAGAACAAAAAGAAGTAGGTTCAAAATGATTACTTTTAACATATTAAAAATCAATAATAATTTGAAAATAATTAATTATAAAAATTATATAATATATAATTAAAATAATTACTAATCTGGATATAATTAAGGAAATAGGAGTTGATGTTGGGTTGGGTTGGTTACATTTTTAACTTTATAATGCTATAACTCATTGAAAAGTGTACGAATCAACACAATTTTTTTATGAGAAATAATATTTTTTAATAATCCCTTTTTCATTCGACATACTTTATCTTAATCAGGGTATTAATAAGAAACTAGCAGATAATGTAGCTTTTGTAATTATCCACCAATTTCTTAGAATTAAACACTATCTACTGATTTGCATCGAAGCGTTTCTTATGATAGTGATTTTAATCACTGTCAGATTAAATCTATACTGGACCCAACTATGCAACATCTCCACTATGCCGCGACTCCACTGTGCTGGGTTTTTTTTTATTTCATACCTTCCTAAGACTTATGCTTATAAAGGTTTCTTCACTTGTGCCTATTTTTATTATAAAAAATTACCTATGACCCCTATTCAAAAATTTTATCACGCTATAGAATAAATGTGTCATTGAGAGATGCTCATCATGACTTGTCCGTAAGTTTTAGTCAATATTATAATTCCAACTATAATAACATTTTCAGTAAAAATAATCGTATTGTTATCAAACAATCTTTTGTTAGACCACAGATAAGGGGTTTGGTCTGTAAAGAACATATAAATTTAAATCAAACTTAACTAATGTTAATTAACTTTTTGAAAACAAATAACATTAAATAAATTCTAAGGTAAAAGTTAATAAATCATTTTAAACGTTCTAATAAATAAAAAAAATGGATAATAATAAACTAACACAATTAAGCATTTATAGTTAAATAAAATTTAGTAATTCTTATTTGACTAATAAACTTCAATACTTAAATATGTTCAAAAAAATTAAAAGTTTAATAACGTAGCGTACATTTTATTTATAAACAAGTATTTCTGTGTTTAAATTATCATTTCATAAATAGAGTGCGTATTTTGATGTAAATACAAATTTATAATTGTCAGCTTTTTAATCTAGGAAAAGTTAACTGCTATTCATAAAATTAAGTTATTTCTAATGTATTTTTTGTAAATATTACACAGGTATATTTACCTATACAATATGAAATTCTAGACAAATATTAATCTTTTGTAAAAATTAAAAATTTTGTTATAAATAAGATAAAAGATAAAATTACAACTATAACATAATCCGAATAGAATAAAAATACTTTAAAGTACCCTGTCTTTATTTTTTTGAAATGTTGAAAGTATTTAATACATACATGCATGTATATACTATAATTGTTGACAATACTTTTGTGATTAACGTATGACTAGAAGATAAATTCAATGATATTGTATTTGCATGATCAAGTTAGATCAATTTTATTACACCATAACATAATAATTATGTTATTATTTAACAATTATTGTGGTTTACTGATTACTGTTGTTCTATACTTAAATATTTAGCAGTCAATTGGGATTTATTACAATAGTTCTAAAAATAGATTGAATCAGGGAATTTTATTTGGATTAATGGATAATGAATGCTCCTAACGCAATTGAATATTGTAACACAATTTGTGATCGTCACGTATCACGTATAAACCATTGGCCGTTATTATCGCTTATCTTACTTAAGACACATTAGCATTCTTTGAATATAGAAGAAACTTTTTACTTTTCAAGAGTCTTCACTTCAATTCACTCACTATCAGACAACCATAACGGAACAATATCCGACGTTAGCCGTTTTCTGATCTGTATTTCTTAACGGCAATATTGCCTATTTGCGTTTGATTACTCTTCATCACTTTCGAAGACAACATGGGCAATCCCCGTAAGTATTCATTTTGATACATTTTATTATTTTAGTGATCATACATACATTCCTCCCACCTTTTGTTTTTGTTGATGGCCTCCGTAACCGCTATTAAAAGTTTACCTCCACCACCACTACTTTGCTTTTGTTGGTGACGTCCATGTTTGTTAGACCTTTCTTAGTAAATAGCTGTTGGATAAACCATATCCTGAATTTATTCCATCGAACAATACCGACCGGATCGAATGCAAGTTAGCGGCGTGCGCCCCGACGACTTTTTTTAAACGCGCTTAGTGTAGTCTTTATTTTTTTGTCTTTTTATGGGCATTTAACCGTTAAACCATCAGTCATCGGTAGGTTATAGATATTTTATTATTAAATAATTTTTTTTTTTATATAAATTATTATTGTTATTTAAAAGAAAAAGTCCTTTTGATCATTTTATTTTAGTTTAAACATTATTTTATTCAAACTAATTTTTCGTTCTTTAAAATTTTTGTGAAGCATTTAAAAGAAAATAACGTGTATGATTAATGATTTCCCTATATTTGATACAGAATTGCTAATTTTATTATAAATAATTAAAAAAATTAGCTGCTTTGAGACTAAAGTGAATGATTTTTTAATTGTTTTGTTTATTTAATTTCTTCCATGATTTAATTAAATATTAGTTAAATAAATTTAGTAGGAAATTCTCATCTATTTGAATATTTTAATGCTATTTCTCGATATAACTAATTTTCTAATTTAATCATATATATTTTTTTCTTTTATTATACCAATTGGGAAGCACCGAATTTATGAATATATTTTTTGTTTTTAATTAAAGGTTTTTAAAAATATCTTCATTTATAAAATTTTGTTTAAATTATCATAAATTTACATATAATTGTTAAGAAACAACTTAATTATAAAATAATAAAAGTTTAAAAAATCATTTATTTTAACAATCGATTATGGTGATAATTTTTTTTTAATTGAATTTTTAAAAAAAAATGTTATAAATTTTAACATACATTAATAATGATGAATTTTTTTTTTAAAACAAAAAGTTATTTTCATATACCTAGGAAAACCCCTTAACTTATCAGCTCAATATTTATATAATTAGGTTTTGTTTATCAAGCATTTATTAATTGGCTAAAAATTGACTAAAATATTAAGATTTTAAATATTTTAGTGCTATTTTATTTTACAAATTCTATTTTTGTACACAGTTGTTACAGTTAAAAAATTTAAATAGAAATAGAAAAACACTTTTAAAATGTATAATCTTATATTATATTGAGTTAAATTACTACTCAAATGTTAGAGTGTGAATTGCTGCAATTATTTTGACTAAATTTATACATTAGTTTTATTTATTTTGATATCTTGATATTTATCTTGCATATATCTTGTTTAAAATAAAAACATTTTTTTTTTTAATTTTCTTGGAAATGGTTGCTCAAATTAGTTTAATTTAAGTGCAATAAAAAACTCTCTAAATATGTGTGACATAGTTACAGAAAAAAAAGAAATGTCTTTTTTTTGCTGTGTTTTTATATGAAACTAATAAGTTTTTTTTTCTTTAAAATTTTGTATGGTCAGGTTATGCAGAAGCCCTTTGTATAAATAGTTTTAATGTTTTAATAAAATCAAACAAATTTCACATTACAATTTTTTTTTTATATTATTGGAAAGGACTAACCTTAATTTTTATCTAATTAACAATGCAAGATTTTATTTATTTATATTCATGTTTTCTCTAGTAAATATAAATAAATAAAATTCAAATACTAATTATTTGTTGTTCTTTAAAAGAAGCCTAATTGTTTGTGTCTTAAACTTATGAAGGTTTAACTTTTATGGCTACAGTATTTTCAAAATATTTTTTATGTGTATAAATATTAAAATTGAATTAAATTTAAAATTAGAATTTTTGAATATATTTGATAAATTTTATCTAATCTATGAGTAAAATAGTAAAAGAGCTTATAAGTGAAAATTATTCTGTTTTATTAGTGTTTACTATCTATTAAATACAAATAAATATTTTATAGTTTATATTAATTATTTATGAAAAAAATATAATATTTATGTTTGTAGAAATACAGCGAATTGCACCTGAAGGTATACAATCGGATAGTCCTCCAAGCCCAAAACTAGTTATTTTGGACAACAAAAAAATGAGTCAAACTAAGATATCAATTGGCTCTCCTAAGAGCTTGAAAACAGGTGATGAGAATCCAAAACATGATGGTACTTCTCCAAGCCCTTCAAAAACTGGAAGATCTCCATCTTCTCCAAAATCAAGTCCCACAAAATCTCTTTCTATTACTGAAAGACTTGCTCAATCAACTCGTGGTAAATCATTAAGCCCTAAAAGCCCTGTTACAAAATCACCTCCTGCTATTCCAAATGCTCTTAGTAAGTAATTACTTAGTAATATTAAAGTAAAACATGTATGCTAATCATATATATTATATTCTAAATGAGATAATACTCTTCCAATTATGTTATTACCTTACAATTATTAAAGGGTACATAGGAAAAAATGTTAATAATTAAATACAATTTCTAAGTACTTATTTTCCTTTTAATAGTTACCTTCATTAAAAAAAATGTTTAAGGAGGCTATTTGTAATACAATTTTTTGCTTCCTTCTTTCCAGGTGTATCTAAGTATTTTCTTCTTTAGGATTAATATAATAATATTATTGTTGTATTAATAACTACAGTTAGGCTTTTGTTTTGAAGAGGTATACTTAAAAAATTATTCTCTATTATTCTAAAAGAAAAAATACACAGTATTTATATTCTGGGGAAATTTATCACCTCTTTATTAAGTCTTATGAGTACTTAATAATGGCATGATAGCAAAAAAGTATTTTCAATTTCAAGCAAACATTATTAATATTTACTTATATTTTTATATTTAATTAGTTAATTTAAAGAGTTTATAAGGTTTTGTTGAAAAAACTGATTCTATAATGTGTTGGTCAGACAATACTTGTATGATTATTAAATTAAATAAATTATTAAAAAATCTGAGATAATTAGGTTTTTTTTTTTTTTTTTAGATTCATCAAAAGTTGAAAATTCTAAAGAATCTTCAGATCAAAACACACAGTCAGAACAGACTAATGATGTCAGAAAAGATAAAGTGTCTAACAATTCTGTGGAATCTAATTTAGAATATGAACAACTTGCTAACAAACAGAATGAATCTGTAACTGAAAATAGCTCAAATGAATTGAAAGATCGACTGGCTCCTGGTGAAGAAGTACCAGAAATTAATAAAAGAAATGATATCCATGATGAAAAAGAAACTAAAAAAACTATAAGCGATGAACCTACCAAACCCCAACGAATTGATAATAGTATTATTATGGAATTAAAAACTAAAAAAGAAATTCGTCAAAAAGTTTGGGAGTTTTTGGAAGAAAATTCATTGGTTGTCTTTCCCAAACCTTGTTTCAATCGTATTCCTAATTTTAAAGGATGTATCAATGTTACACAGTCATTAGAAAAGTTGGAAGATTTCAAGAAAGCCAAAACTATACAAGTTACTCCTGATAAAGCTCAAGAAACCGCACGTTTCTTGACTTTAAGTGTAGGAATTATTTAAAAATTAAACTTCCTATTTTATTTTTTGATTTTAAATGCTATTTTACTATTTTTAGTGGGGTAAAAGACTGTTGGTTCCATTACTTCGTTTAAAAGAAGGATTGTTGCAATGTGTTTCTTTACCATTTGCTGAACCTTCAGCTAAAATGTTACGTTCAGCTAGCACACAAAAAGGGTTACGAAAATGGGGAAATAAACTAATAACTCTTGATCAAAAAAATGAAGATGTTCCTCATATTGACATGATTGTTTTAGGATCTGTTGCTGTTGATAAGAAAGGTATAATTTAGTTACATCCATAATATATATACTCAATAATAATTTTATAAAATCAAATTAAAACTTGAATTTTGACAATTTTTGTTTTATAGGTCGTAGGATTGGTATTGGTAATGGTTTCTGTGATTTAGAGTTTGTTATATTAAATTCTATGAATATGGTGTCAGAAAATACTGTAATTGTTACAGTTGTTCATGATGCACAGGTGACTAAATATGTTTATGTATTATACATAATTTCCTTATAATTATAATATAGGTGCTAATATAATTTAAAATGGTTTAACAATAAAAATATCTCGATTACATTTATAGGGTGTCTGAGAAATGTTTTTGATTTTTAAATTAATTTATTATGTCTTGAAATTTATTAATTATAAATTGCATAAAATTAGTATAAGTAACAGTTAAGGCTATTTAAAAAGACTAAAATTTAATCAATTTAAAAATCACAAGTTGTGTTTGTTATATATTAATAATTTTTTATTTTTTTTAGGTATTTGACGAACTTCCAGCTGATATTTTTATGCCATACGATGTACCTGTTGACATCATAATAACTCCCAATGAAATAATTCGTGTTGAAAATCGTCTTGATCGCCCAAAGGATATATTTTGGAAATATATATCCAAACGTCGTTTATTGGAAATGCCTCCATTACAACTTTTGCGTACCAGACAAGAAGCTGATAGCAATATTGACTGCACACTCAAAGAAGTTGATAGTGATCCTGAAGAAATACCTCCATCGCCTAAAACATTCAAAAAAACAAAAAGGTATTGAATCTAATAATAATTATTGTCCTGTAATTGTAAAATTTAATAATTATATTTTAAACTATTTGTATCTAAGTATTTAGGATCAGTTGTGTAAAAGAGCTGTTGTATTGATAAAGATGTAAGACACAGGATTAAGTGCGGGTAGTTAAAGAGGAGAAAAACGTCTAATGTGTTATGCGATAAAAGAATTCCAATGAGGTTGAAAGGTAAATTCTATAAGACTAGTGAAATCGGTTATGATGTATGGTTCAAAGTGTTGAGCGGTTGACAAGAAAGTAGAGCAGAGAATGTGAATGCTTAGATAGATGAGTGGAGTGACTAGAGAAGATAGTATAAGGAAAGAACTTATAAGAGGGAGTATAGGTGTATTGTCAATTGTAGATAAGATGAGAGAAAATATACTTCGATGGTTTGGTCATGTTATGAGGAGAGAGGAATCAGAAGCTGTAAGAACAGTTATGGAAATGAATGTTGAAGGAAGAAGAGGTAGAGAAAAACCAAAAAATTGATGGAAGNAATGTTGAAGGAAGAAGAGGTAGAGAAAACCCAAAAAATTGATGGAAAAATGTAATTGAATGCATTATGAAAACAGCTGATGTGGGAGATCGTATAAAGTGGAAGTTTAGGATAAGGGTGGCCGACCCCAAGTAGTTGGAACTAATACCAGGAAAAATAAGAAGAAAAAGATTTTAAACTTTTTGTTAATCCAAATATTTTAAATAATGCTTTATTTTTTTTTTTAGTTATCGTCACCGACGATCATATTCTGTACGTTCTGAAACTAATGATTCTGTTTTTAAAGACTCTGAAGTGTCTAAGCATCGATCTATCTCAAGACAACGATCAGCTTCTACTAAGGACTCTAGAACTAATCGGAAACGTACTAAGTCAACTTCAAGTCAACCGAATCGTAGCAGTTCCATTGTGAGACAAAATAATAATGAAAAAGATCGCCGCTCTTCAAAAANTCCATTGTGAGACAAAATAATAATGAAAAAGATCGCCGTTCTTCAAAAAAGAATAATAAACGTAGAACTAAATCAGAATCTGCCAAAAATGGTTCTCCTGAAAATGATTCTAAAAACTCAAATGGTTTACCAGAAGATTCCCCTTCTACTACAACACCTATTAAAGGAAAACGTAGATCTCGTCAAAAGCCACGTCGACGTAATGTTGTAGATGATGAAAAACAAGCTAACTATCAGTCAATTCCAAAAACTAAAGGAAACAACAAGCATAAATCACGAAGTACTTCACGTTCTGCTAAATATGATTATGTTGATCGTCAGGATTATAGTCGTGATATGTCGTTAAGCCGAAAAGCTCATCGTGAATATGTTCAAAGTCCAAAGCATTATTATTCACGCCGTGATGCTTATTCTCAAGAACGTCAGCCTAGAAATAATTCTAGAGTCCCTAGACGTGATATGTCTAATAGATCAAATGGTTTTCCTCAAAACAGATACACAAATGGGCCTGTAGTTCGTAATACTAGATATTTCAGTGGACCAATGATTCGCCAAAATAGTTACAATACAACAATATCTCGTCAAAACAGCAACAATCCAATTGTACGGCATAATAGTTTTTCTAATGATCATATGTCTCGTCAAAATAGCTTTTATGATGGTTCTATTTCTCGTCGTAACAGTTTTTCTAAAGGTAGTGTTATTCGGCAAGAAGGTTTTACCAACTCGAGAGTTTTTAGACCACCACATTACCGAAATGGAATGTCTCCTCAAACAAATGATGAAGTATGATATCAATAATTTATTTATATTTTCAAGTAATATTATTTAAATTTTTATTCAAACTATAGCATAGAGATTACCGAGAATCTAGACCCCGTTACAATAATAACCGCATTGGGTACTATAATTCTAATGAAAGGTCAAACTACTCTAGAATTAATAATGGAGATGAATTTGTACTTAAAGTAGGAAATATTGCCAACAATGTTAGAGTACGTGATTTAAAAGCTGCTTTGATGGAACGTGGTGTAAAGCCATTGTGAGTGTTTTCTTAATTTATTTTTATTAATTCTTATATTTTAAGAACTGTTAGTATATAAAACAATTACTTAATTTTAAAAGAATATTATCTTTAATATCACTCTAAATAATATCATTTAAATTTATAAATTTGTATTATTTGCAAATTTGCTTGTGATAAAAAGGTTTATATAAAATAATTGATTTTTAATACTTCTAAGTTAATTTTAAGCTATTTCATCAAAGAAACACAAAGGACATTTTAGATATGAATTCTTTTTTTGCACCTGAATATCCTTAAACCTTCAATATTATATAATAACAATTATGATAAATACATATTTATATTATGTTTAATACTTTTAATAAACTAAATATAAAGTTGAAAATTGTTTACTACTTAAATTGATTATTTCAGAAATTTGTTAAGTTTAAAATGTCTGATTATGAGATAATTAAAAAACACTAAAAAGTTAGATGGTACTTCATATTTTAAATGTAAAGTCACTGAAGTATCTAAATTTATTCTAAAGTATTTTACACAAGAAAATTATTTTCTTCCTATGCCTAATTGCTTCATTTTCAGGGTTTAAAATGTTTTAATCTAGGTGTTTTTGTAAATATGCTTTTGTGTAAAATAACAAACTATTCAATCAGCTGAATAAAATTTCCTGTCATGTTTAACACAGAAAGTTGTCAAATATCATTCATTGACTGGTTTCTGTGTGTAACACATTATCTTATTTGAAACTGAATAACTATAGAACAATGATATTTGAATGATATCAACACAAATAATACATTTATACTCGAAAAATAAAAATTGAATCTAACTCAATTTTGTATTTTTGGAGTTTTTTTGATTTCAAAATAAATTAATATTTTGTATATATTAAATTTCATTTACAGACATATTACTTGGAGAGGCCCAAGGGGTTTTGCATATTTACGTTATAACAACTCTGAAGATTTAAACAAGGACAATGTTATTGGATCATTGCAAAATGTACGCATTAAACCCAATGGTGTTGAAACTGCTCAAACTCAGACTCTCATTGTTACTGAATGTTAATTGTTAAAATTCTTAGTATAATACTGAATGCTAATTGTTAAAATTCTTAGTATAATACTAAACACCTTTATTGGTAAATTTCTTAAATACTCTTTACTTCATTCTTTTTAATTTTTAAATAAGAAAAATTTATCTTAATGAATAATTTAACAATTTAATCTTCTATCTTCAACATGCTTACTTTTATTTTTTATTTGGTTTTTTCTTTTTTAAGCTCTAAATGTTGATTTAATTAGTTAATTGCATAGAAAATTTATCTAAATACCTGAAGTATTAAAATAATATTGTATTTTGACATTTTTTGAAAAAGTGTTTAACTATGTGACTGTTACATTAACTTAAAAAATTGTATTGTTTTAAAATTTATCATCTTAACTTCTAAGAATATTTGTCTATTTGGGCCTTAATTTATTTCTAATCTTAATGTTAATGACATATCTTATTTAAAATTAAACATTTACCTTTACAATTGTTGAGTTTTTTTTTTTTAACTTTAATTATTCATACAATTAAATTTAGATAAGTGTATTGTATGAATAGTAAAAATAAGTATAATAAGTCATCTAAGATTTTTATANAATAGTAAAAATAAGTATAATAAGTCTTCTAAGATTTTTATATTTAAAATATGAAAAGATTTATTATGAGAAATAAGCTACAGTTTAATTACAGAAAACTAACAATTTTTCTAATATCATTTAAAATGTATTATTTTTGCTTATATACCATTTTAAAATGCAAACCATTGTTAATATAACAAGTAACATAAAAATTAAACTTAAAAACAAAATGAAATTGAAGACTTATTATTTGCTGTCCAGTTAAATTCATAAATTATGTAATGGTTCCATCAGTTCCCAAATATTTTCCTCATAATTTTTTAGGGTTTTAAAATTTTCATTGCTTACTGACTTGATATAATTGTTTCTTGAAAGTATTACCTAAAAGAATTTTAGACTTATAACATATGAGAAAGGCAATATTATGTATAATTACTAGTCTGAAACTACACCAATCCAAATTAAAATTATTATTTCGAAAATATCTCTCGACACTTGTTCTTTTGAAATCTTTGGGGCATTTTATTAGTTTGTGTAAGGGACTGATTTCTTTTTCCAATTCATAAAGTGTTGATGAAAAATTAGTTGCACTTCCAATAAAGACAACAACTCTAAAAATTTTAAGTTTTAACTTTACTATTTCTTAAATATTCATTATTTTTTGTTTATAAATAATATAAAAACACTGGTTATTATTGTGAATAACTATTATTCATTGAAAAATTATGTTAAAATTTTATAATTGAAATAACTTATATTTCAACTAAATAAATTTTAAAATAAAATGATAGTCAAATATATCATACGGTTATCAACTAGGATACATTTTATGTTCAACAATTGCAATATAGTGTAGCCCATGGATGTACTAAAAATTATTTACACGCTCCATAATTTTTAATGTACAGTTAACTTATAAACATAATTTTAAATTTGCAAAATGCTCATTTTTAAAAGCAAATAATCAAAAAAATATATACTTTATTCTAGAATTGCTTCAGTTAATAACTTTTCACTCATCTCAAGTTAGGTTTAAATTTCAATACATTTCATTGTTCCCAGAAGTCTGGAAAACTTTAGAAAGCCAGGAGACGTTATAATATTTTGTTATATGTTGTTAAAATGTTGTTTTTCTTATATATTTATTACACCTTAAATGGTCAGAGAATTTTTATGATTTTGTCTGGAATTTTTAAACATTTATTAAACCTATGGAATATTTAGACAATTTTAGGAAAGGGTTAGGGGTCAAACTGTATACTCTGTTTTACTCCTACTTATTCTTAAACCCTTTTCTTCAAGAGCTTATCTCTTCACCTCTAGCCTTTGATTAATTTCTACCCTATTTTCTCCTATTAACAATATATAGTCAGCGAATAACATGCACCACGGCACATCTTGTATTTCTCTAGTAATTTCATCCATCACTATAGAAAGTAATTAAGGGCTTAATGCAATACCTTGGTGCACTCCTACTCTTACTCTAAAACCTTCTGTTACTCCTCTTACGCTTTTTACCCTGCTGCAAGTGCCATCATACATATCTTCTATTATATTAAAGTACCTTTTCGGGACTCCTTTTTTCATTAATGCCTACTTTAAAACCTCTCTAGGTACTCTATCATATGCTTTTTCTAAATCTATAAATGACATACACAACTTATTTTTCTTTCGCCTAAACTTTTTAACTTAGTTACCTCACACAAGATAATGGTTCCATTGTTGAATTACCAGACATAAATTCAAACTGGTTTTTAGATACCGATGTCTCATTTCTTACTCTCTTATCTATTACCTTTTCCCAAATTTTCATACTATGCTCATAAGTTTTATGCCTCTATAGTTTCCACAATCCTGTATGTCACCTTTACCTTTAAATATGGGCACCACAATACTATTTCTCTATTAATTTAGGATTTTTCCTTCTAATAAAATTTTATTTAATAGTTCCTTCAACTACCTTATGCCAACACCGCTGAATATTTTCCATACTCCTACTTTCACTTCATCTGGTCCTATTGCTTTATTTTATACAATATTTAAAGTGCTTCTTAAAATATTTATCAATTTTAAAAGTTTTTATCGCATTTTCGAAGTTTTTCAGAATAATTAAATCTTTACCCTATAAATTAAATATTGTGACAAGNTCTTTACCCTATAAATTAAATGTTGTGGCAAAGTAATCTTAATTCAAACCTAATCAAATACAAAAATAATATATAATACCCTTCTTGATCTTTAGGATCTAATGGCACTCGTTGTCCAAGTTCTCTTGTCGAAGCCAATTTTGTCATATATACATTAAATTCGCTTTCGCGCCATAAATGTTGTCTGAAAATATCTAACAAGGATTTTATCCGTCCTTGTTCAAACATGTCTTCAATGTTTAAGTTATTTATCTTAATTTGAACCTCATATTTTGCTAACTCTAAAACAAATGGTTTTATATAATATTAATAAGTTATTTAATAATTGTTCATTTACTTAAGAAAATTGGGCACATAGTGATGTAAAAATATTTTTATTTACCTTCTTTTTTTTTAATATATAATTGAATAACTTTTTTCAACACTTGATATGTCATTCTGTTTAATCCAACGATATCTAACTAAAAATTGTATACATTTTTTATATTAAGAAGAGTTTCAAACAAGCAAAATACTTTTACTTTTTAACTTAAATTAGAAGGTATATGACTTTAAAATATATAAGCTTATGTATTAATTTGAAATTACATCAATAAGTTGCGAAGACCTTTAATGTACTAAAATGAAAATTATTTAATGTTCAGTAAGTAAAGAACGGGTTTCTATTGTTTTTATTGTTTGTAACAATTGACCTTACAATGTTTCCTTACTTGCTGAACACTCTGTATAATTTTCATTTTAGTACATTAAAAGTCTTCGCAACTTGTTGACATAATTCTAAATTAATGTATAAGCTTATTAATTAGTTAAACATTCTTTGGAAACAATTTTGAGCATTAAGTATATATAATATTTAAAAAAATCACACAAACTCTACAAAATCTTATGGTCAATTTAAAACATGTTGTAGGTTATCAAATGGAACTTTTAAAAATTAATTATAGGAGTTCATTAATAGTAACACAAAATGTAGGAGTTTATAAATTAATTATATAAAATTAGGTGTTAAAATTTTGATGTTTGCAATGGTTCTTCAATAGGGGAAGAAGTATCCCTTCCTCTAAATACGCCACTGTATTTTATAACCTACCATTGATATAAAATCGCGTTTAGGATATACAACGAATAACACTCCTACTACTCTACTTTTTTAAAGTTATCTGAACTTCCACAGTAAATATATCGCTGAATAGGATTACACTCAAGTATTATATGGTTCAAGTTCAAGTTTAGTCTAATTATTTCAAGAACCCGTTCTATAATTTTTACTTAAGGTTTGAATTAGGTTTACCTAAAAACTTTAATTTAGTAGTTTGGCACACCGCTTTAAATATTGAAGCGTAAGTAGCTGTGTCAAACAAGCCCATCTTACTCAGCAATTGCCCAGGGTTCCTCTTATGTATATTCATTATTGCGGTTCATAAACTATAAGCTTTTAAGCCAAGTGATAATATAAGAAAAAAAATATTTTTTAAAGTTCGTCAATGATATATTTCCGGAAATCGATATCGTACCAAATTTCAGCGATATTATATTACAATATAGAAAAAACAATTGTTCCCAATATTACAATATATTGATTTCATATGAAAAAATAAATCGATATCAAAAAAAAAAATTATATTCAAAAATTAAATGTTATATCTAAATGTTTTCACCATTTTTTTTATTTTCAAGAATACCGTTAAGTTACCAATGTTATAAAAATGAGACTATAGTATACCAACCAAATCCGATAATGATATTAGTATAAAAAATATCTAGACAATAGATATATCTCACAACAATAATCAAATATTTTCAAATTACTTTTTATTATGAAGAAATAAGTTTTTTTTTTTGTTAAAAGACATAATAATTATAATATAATTTCATCCATTTAATATAACCAATATATTATATTGGTTATATTAAATGAATAATAGTATTATAGTTTCAGTGTTTTGATTTTAAATAATAATGATAAAAAAAGATTATAAGTGCAGTTTATATTTTTTTATTTCTTTGTCACAACTGAAAGCCATTTTTTTATTTTCATAAATAAAATTCAAACAATTTTTTTATTAAAAATGTATTTTTGATTATTGCGATATTTCAAAGATAATCGATATTGTAGGAAAAATGAAAACAGTCGGCGATATCGATATCGTTAACAAATTCTAATATTTCTTAAACATTGTTTAATTTTAACAATCTTTAGGGGAATTACAAAAAATTTTGAAAATCCTCCACTTTATATTAGGATCTAATACTTTCACCCATTTTAAAAAAGTCATTGTTTAGATTCTTGTAATTACCTTGATTTGATTTTCAGATGAAATAGGTGGAGTACCATAAATATATCCGAATTTATTTTTTTCATTAAATTTATAATGTATCCAATATGGTAAATCTGGATAATTTTGTAATGAAGGTGTGTAATTAAACATATTACCATCAATTCCTACAAATATAAAATTATTATGTACATACAGTAAGTAAGGAGATCTAGAGCCCCCGAAACCAATATTTTTAAATTCTTAAGTGTTATATTAAATAATATTTAATATGTGGATTAAATTTTATTCTTTAGGACCTCGTCCAGAAAAATATTGAAAATCCGCCACTTTGTATATATGCTCAAATATTAAGTAATATAAGTGACGGATCCAGAGGTAAATACAAGGGGTGTGCGCTTTCTCCTTGAACTATCATCGCCTAATAATAACAGCCTTTATAATTATAAAATTGCCTAAAAATTAATTTTGACGTCTAGAAATTGTTTACACTCTTCTCTTGAAAAAATTTTGGATCTGCCCCTAAGTAATATCTTAAATATTCAACATTTACAAATATTAATATTATTTTTTATCATGACTTTAGTCAAGGCTAGACTTACCATTTGTCCAATTAAAAAGTTCCGGTTGAATTTCATAATAAAATACTTCAGTTTCGTTTATATTTTTTTCTATGTCAGACGATTTAGTTATCATTGTGTAATTAATAATTATTGCCATTATAAACCATAGAGAAATTCCAAATATATTATATATATTGATTTTTGATGTATTCATTTTTGTTGTTTGTGTTCAAATATAACACATTAAATATAGAAAGCGTCATTATCACCCAGTAAAATGATTGTGGATCTGTAAAATAATTTTTGTTAAAGATTCAAATATATGTTTAATCAAAAAAGATTTGTGAATAACAAAATACATTTTCTTATAGTTTAGAATATTAAGATTTTAGTTCATTGATGATTATTAATTCTGTGATAATTAGTGGCAAAGCTGAGTTTTTAGGACGGGAACGACAGTTTTCAATTTTTACATCAATAAATGTCTAGAAGCTCTTAAAAAATTACATATTAGTTTTAAAAATTTATTTTGATTAGTTATTAATAATATTCTCTTTCCCTCTCTTGTCACTCGCAAAAAATAATATTTATTGTTATGTAAATTATTTTTAAGGATGGATATTACATTTATCACTCTGCAACCCAAATATTTTTTTATTTTATATAATCTATATAATATAGAGATTTAGTTTGTATATAATATACAAACTAAATATTTGGATTTTGTACATTTTGCAGGTAAATTTATAGTACTACAGACACACTAGTAGACACGCATTGTTATAACCATATAACAATATAAGTTATAACCAAAATTACTACTTAAAAATCTTTTTAAGCGCAAAATTAACTTTTTCTGTGAAAATAAGTAGGGATTATTAAAAAACTTCCTTATTCAAATAAGGATGTCGCTAAAAATAAAAATTTAAATAATATATACGATAGGTAATATATCATTATTTTCTGATGAACATATTTGGTATTTACAATAAACAAAAGAAAAAAATACATTAGTGTCCATTAACGAATAATTTTTTAGTTTTGAAAGTATTTATTTCGATCACACGAACATAAGAAACAAAATAATAAAAATATCTAAAAAAAGCTCACTGACAATGCTGTTGTCATTGCTGGACTCTGTTTGATCAGCAGGTCGACACTCGACTACTATAACCGTCATAGTATAGTAGTTAGTCTATTTCTATAGGCTATAATAAGGATACAAGTACTTTACTCAAATATTTATTTAAATGGCTTTATTCCAATTTTAAAGCCCTAGCAATTCTATCAGTTAAACGTTGAGGATTATTATAATCATTAATTAGACTTTTATTGAATAACTCTACATGTGCAGTGAAATTATGAATTATAATATTTCATAATATTAATAATAACACAATATTCCTATATTTTGATACACATATCGTTAATGATTATTACCAAACCGTTTTAAAGTATTCATTGCCAGGAAGAGTAGACACATTGACGTCAGCATGTGTGGGCGTGTCTTCTTTTAAGTCTTATCAATAATAATATAGTATCGTCGTTAGTGTTTATATACTTACGTACAGCAGCACAACGTAAAGCCCAAGTGAATTATGTATAGTGAACAAGTATAATTATTGTAATTAAAGATCATGTTTTAGTCCAAAACTAGTTGAAGTGAATCATTCTCATTTAGTGAATTTTCCAACATATTGAAGTGTATAGTATCATATGGTAGTTATAATATATTGATACATATTCAATTCACATACTGTTTTTAATATTTTCGTTAAGTTTTACAGTTAATTTTACGGTGTTATTCTGTTTAATTATGTTATATAAACAAACCTTTATTTGTTTAATGAAATATTGTTTCAATACATTTATCTCCACATTAATATTGGGTTCTGTTTAAAAAAATTATGGATAAACTTTACATTGACCAGCAATTCTAACATCTTGCTGCTTTAATCTATTTACAATAATCAAAATTGCCTTAAGACTTAAAAATTAAAACTCAGCTTTTTGAAATGGCTATTTCTACATCTACCACCAGAGTTCTTTTAGTAACAGCTAATATTGGTTCAATATTTGAAAATGTAAGTATTTTATTAAGTATATATTATTTTTATATAAAATAGAATCATACAATTTTATTTTTGTAAATTTTTTAAACAAACATTTAACTTATTATTTTGCCACAATAATTTTGAAAAGTAATTGTTAATAATAAAGTGAAATATGTTTATGAGTAGGGTTGTCTTCAGTCAACCACTTTACCTATTTGTGTGAATACTTAATAATACTAACCCATTAATAAAATAAATAATATTATGGAATATTTAAAAAAGTTAGTATGAAGTAGCGATCATAAATGAATAGAAAATATTAAAAAATACTACTAATACTTTTATTTATATAAAAAAAAAAATAAAACTTTTTAAAGGGTAAAAATCCAATGAATTTTATTTATGTTATTAATTAGGCACTGTATTAGGTTCTTTCCAAATAATTTTGGTTTTGTTAAGTTAATTTTTTTATTTAATTTAATATTTTTTTTATTTTAAGGTGTTTCTTCTGAACACTTTACTTTTTAAAATCTAAATACAAGTGTTAATTTTTTGTGTTTTATAATTTATTTAAAAATGTATTGAATTTTAGTACTATGTGTACTATTTTAATAAAAGTCCATTATGGCTTAAAATAAAATTACTTGTGAATTCTGTAAAATTCTGTACATTTCAAAGTTCAAATTTAGTTATAATATTTTTGACTAAAAACTCAAGCTAGGTATAAAATGTATTTAATTTAAACTAAAGGAATAGAATAAAATGAGTTTAANGTCTATGAGTAGGGTTGTCTTCAGTCAACCACATTACCTATTTGTGTGAGTACTTAATAATACTAACCCATTAATAAAATAAATAATATTGTGGAATATTTAAAAAAATTAGTATGAAGTAGCGATCATAAATGAATAGAAAATATTAAAAAATACTTCTAATACTTTTATTTATATAAAAAAAAAAATAAAACTTTTTAAATGGTAAAAATCCAATAAATTTTATTTATGTTATTAATTAGGCAATGTATTAGGTTCTTTCCAAATAATTTTGGTTTTGAGAAGTTAATTTTTTTAATTTAATTTAATACTTTTTTTTATCTTAAGGTGTTTCTTCTGAACACTTTACTTTTTAAAATCTAAATACAAGTGTTAATTTTTTGTGTTTTATAATTTATTTAAAAATGTATTGGATTTTAGTACTATGTGTACTATTTTAATAAAAGTCCATTATGGCTTAAAATAAAATTACTTGTGAATACTGTAAAATTCTGTACATTTCAAAGTTCAAATTTAGTTATAATATTTTTGACTAAAAATTCAAACTAGGTATAAAATGTATTTAATTTAAACTAAAGGAATAGAATAAAATGAGTTTAAAAAACCTGTTTGAACACAGTAAAAATAAAATTGAAAGACTGGTTTAATATATCAATCATTATCTCTATTTCCACACATATTATGTGTAGTAGTTAAGGAAACTCAAAATACTATAGAAGGTAAGGATCAGTAAGAACTGACTCCTTCAAATAGTTGGAAGGAAAAACAAGGTTTCTACTATTTTAGGGTGGTTCTACCTCATCAATTTGATGCAATTTTTTGGACCACCTCTGTAATCTAATATAATCCCATTAGGGCTGAAGAAAACAGTATAGGGGCAAGGTTGTGTTATTGTAAATGTTCCCGTATGGTTACCCACCTGAGAACTAATTGCAAATTGTTTAGCTAAACATCAGCACTAATGCAGTGACTGAATGTGTCACCTTACACTGAAAGAGAATGCAAGGTTGTAAAAGAAAACAAAATAAAAATAATATTGAATATTCATAGGAAAAATTTAGTTAAAAATAATAAAAAAAAATATTCATTAAATGATATTACAGTGGTACCAGGTACATTTTGAGATTTTTATCTGTATTGTTTTATTAATTGTATATTTGATTTGTAAATGTAAATAATCAATAAAATTATTTATTAAAAAATATTATTCTGTTAGAATAAAACAAATTATTAGTTTAACTACATTAACATATTGAAAAGTTTCCAAACTAGAGGCTATACAATTTTGTTATTATAAAAATTATTATTCAACATAAAATTGTCCTTTACAATAATATTTCATGAGCACAAGGCTATCAACTTTTTACTCCTCTCTGTATTTTAAAGTATTTTTATCTTTTAAAATTCTAGATTAAAAATAATGTTGAAATTTTTATTGTTTCATATTTGTTTCTTTTTTAAATTTTATTACCAATCTATATATTTGATTAGTAAGTTAAAAGTTTTACCATAATAAAAATTTTTTGTATAAAATGTACAGTTATTATTTTAATAAGTTTTTATTAGAGCAAAATTTTGGAAGAGTTAGTTTTGATTAGTTAAAAAATAACCAGTTTTTATAAATCTTAATAATTCTTCCAGTCAACAGTAATACTATACATAATACTATATTTAACAGTAATAAATAACTTTACGCGAGTGAAAATAATTATGTAAAAGTTTAATTTTAAATTACATATTTCCATTTCAGGTTAAATTCCTAGAAGGAACGATAAAATGATCGCCTTTTTTTATTAAGTGTTTTTATGATAATAAAAGCTAATTGNAATGATCGCCTTTTTTTATTAAGTGGTTTTATGATAATAAAAGCTAATTGCTGGTGAATTCATTATATGTTTTTATTAGTTTAAAAATTCACGGAAAATTAGATTAAACAATTTTTTTGTCTCTAGAATTTTGTGTATTATATCTATAGAATCTAGTGTATTGTGAAACACGAGAGTCAATGATTATATTATAAACTTATATTTCTACCAGTAAATCTGTTTGTATGATTAACACTAAATCATAAATTATGAAAATGTAATAATATTAGATAATTTTTAAGCATTGGCTACACAATTATAAAAACTTATAAAGTTGAACATTTTTTACTTATTCTCTTTACAGCATAAGATGAGCAAATTATACTTGCCCAACTATGATAGCAGTAAATTATATAAAACTCGCTGTAAAAGAGCTGAAAATTTAAATTAAATTCGCACCTTGATGAATATTTTGTTAGAATACAAATTTTTTTTTTTTAATATACATAAGTATAGTTTTAAGCCTTGTTGTCCACTTCCATTAAAAAAACATATTAATATTTTATTTTGATATAATGATCCATTAATTAAAATTATTCTACGGATTATTTTTTTGATGTTTTTTATTATAAAATGTTTTTTTTTTACTTTTATAAACTAAAATACGTTTAATATAATTATATGGTTATTCATTAACTAAACTCCTCCCTTGGTTTGGCTACAGGTTGACTCATATTGATTTTTATTTTCTTGGTAAACTTTTTAAAATGTATTATTATATAACTGTTTCAGGGAACTTCTTATTGTTGTACAATAACTAGTAAGGTTTCTCATTCCAAGGCTATAATCTAATGATAACGGAAAATAAATCAACTTTTTTAATTTATTTTATTATTATTATTGTTTTTTTTTTAAGTTTTAATTATTATAATAGTTTAAAAAAATTTTTACGATCAAAACATATTTTCGTAAAAAACAAATCGTACATTTGTGCATTCATTTTTCAAGGCATAAACTGTATATTTTTCAATGAATTAACTTCAAAGTGAGATATATTATTATATTACTATTATCTAATATTATTTTTTTCTCAAAAAATATCTGTCTGTTAAAAAAAAAAAGTAGGTCCAAATTTTGTAATATAAAAATTAATTTCTACTTTTTCTGCACTCGAAAATCAATTTAATTTAATTTATTTTTTAAATTATAAAATTACATCTTTATTGCATAATTAATCCAAACACTTATTTAGATGATCATTTATAAATAACTATAATTTATGGAATCATTATAATATGTTCCAAAGATAATAAAAACTATATTGTCATTGAATTAACTTTATTTTAAATACAAAATATATTTAAAATAATATTAACCACAAATAATAAATTCAAATTTAATTATATTAGCTGCTATGTATTATAGACTAGTATAAAACAATTTTTTGAAATTTTACGCAGAAAATATGTTTTTATTAATTGCTTATATTTTTAGTTTGATACGTTACAATTTTTTACAGTACGAGTATATTCTTAGATTTTATTTCAATAAGCATACATCTGGTACGATATTAAGATAACCTATTACCTCAATATCTGGCGTATGCCATAATATAACAATTAACTATGAAGATCCGATTAAATAATGGTATTCAAATATGAATAATTATCTATACTTGATTGTCACCATAGTGCTTAAGCGATGGTTTGTTTATTTGTGTGATTGGGTGGGGATAATCACTTATTTTAATAGTGAACATTATTGTTTTTTATTTTTTAATAATTAAAAATGTTTTAAAATTATTGTAATAAATTATAATAATACAAGATGTGTTAAGAAAATAACGGGAACTTTTAAATTTCGTGAGTTTTATGAGTCAAAATATCAACAAAAAATTTTTTACAATGTTGGTACACATGTCCCTAAAGTATGATTCAATTTTCAGCTGGATTCATTTTTTACTTTGTCAACGGCAGCCGCAAGGTTAGACGTATTTTTATGAGCTCGGGGATTTTCATTTGTTAAAAAAAATGGATCAAAGAAATTATAACAAATTTTGCGTAAAAAATGAAATAAAGTGTGTGAAATGTTAACAAAGGCCTGTGGTGAGTCTGCCATGAGTAAAACAGGGGTTTACGAGTGGTATAAGCGTTTCTATCATAGCCATCAAGACGTTGAAGATGACGGATGGATGGCCCAGCACATCAACAACCGACGAAAATGTGGAAAAATTAAAAGAAATGATTATAAACGATTGCCGAATTACAATCAAAGAAATCGCTGATTATATTGGAATATCAATTGGCTCATGCCANAAGAAATCGCTGATTATATTGGAATATCCATTGGCTCATGCCATGAAATTTTTTCAAATGTTTTCCGTATGAAACGTATAACAGCAAAATTTGTTTTAAAATTGTTGAATTTTGAATAAAAATAGCAACGAATAGAAATTGTTCAGGAGTTACTTAATGATGTTAACAATATAATAAAAAAAATATAATAAAAATTGATCACTTGTGGCTAGTTAATTAAGTAAAATTAAAACTATATTAATAATATTTTTAATATAGTTTTAATTTTACTTGATGTTAACAATGATGCAGAATTACTGAAACATGTTATAACAGGTGACGAAACATCGGTTTATGATACTAAGGCTCAATTATCTCAGAAGAAACATTCTGGATCGCTAAGACCGAAAATGGCTTGACAAGTGCGATCGAACATAAAGGTTAGCTCACTGTGTTCTTTGATTTTAATGGCATTGTGCATCATGAATTCTTGCCACGAGGTCAATAAGGAGTACTACTTACAAATTCGACGCCGTTTGCGTGAAGCAATTCGAAAAAAATTCCCAGATTTATGGCAAAACATTCATGGCTTTTACACCACAATATTGCACCTGTTCACACTTCATTACTTGTTCGTGAATTTTTGGCCAAAAACATTACTGTAACGATGCTTCATCCTCCATATTTGTCAAAGAGTCATCGTTTTACAAGCATAGATGACATTAAAAGCGCATCGCTGAATAAGCTGAAGGTTATCCCAAAGATCGAGTTAGAAAAATGTTTCGAAGATTGGAAGAAGCGTTGGCACAAGTGAATAATATCTAATGAAGGCGACAACATTAATGTAGACAAATAAATAAATATTTTTTTCAAAATACAAAAATTTCTGTTATTTTCTGAACACACCTCGTATAATAACAATTTAATAATAATAATAAAAACTATAGGGAGGTTCTTTCCTTAGCCCATCCTACCATAAATAATTATATCTAAATCCATGGATTAGTGTACTTTTCTACTGGAGAAATTTAAATAAGGTTTTAAATTTAAATTCCAGTATGACCTAAAACATAAATCTTTTTAGTAAGATTGGTTTTAAAATTAATTTGTCTAAAGAATTTAAAATTTCAGACAATATCGTATTTACAGTGATTCTTGAGTTCTTGACTCTCACATTCATAGCCGTATGGTAGTCAAATTTTTAAGGTGGGGCTAAATTACATTTTTTACCCTACAATATTTTTTTATATAACAATGAATATTATTTTATTAATTTTCTGGGAGGTTAAATTGTAAACTGAGGATCTAAGCCCCCATAGCCTCCTCACTTTACGCCTATGTTTCAATTCCATCGACATAAAATTATGATATAAAGTTATCCATTGCTATAGTAATAGAGGGTTAAACTTACCCACTATTCTACCTTTTAACAATTATCTGGTCTCTACTTCCAATAATAAATTTCTAAATATGCCACTGATCATTGATTATTATAACACTTTTTTTATCGATAGAGATAATATGTCTAAAATGTAAAAATATATTATATTTTAACGTAATTTGGATAACATGAACAATGAACAACTACTTTATATGTATAGATCTAAAGATACAAATTTTTATAACTTTCTTGAAATTACAGTTAATTTTCGGGAAACCATTATGTGTTGTTTTAATGTTATCTCATCGAGTTAAGAGTAATAACGCACACAGAATTATTTTAAGGGGAATGTTACAACATATATGATTTCATGACCTTGTTTTTGTTGTTTAACAAAAAAAATGTTTCCATACAAGTTTAATCTAAACATTGATTTATTCTAATGATAAAATATTCTTATTTAAAATATATACATTTCTATTTCAGCCAAGTGTCATGTTGAAAACGTGGACCGAAGAATTTTTGAATGTGAGTACTTTATTTTTTACTAATTTAACTTAAAAAAGTAAATATTATACATTTAATTTAAAAGTATAACAATTAAATCAAAAATACCTTCACAGCTTTTTAATTGACGGTAAAAAATAATTAAAAAATATTTCATTTAACTTAAGTTATTTAACATAACATATCAAGATGAAACACCTACTATTTCACTTTTTAGATATTTTTTGTAGTATTATTCACTTAAAAATTGTTTTTAAAACTTTTGATTTTATTTGTAGTGTTTTGTTATTATTATTATATAGATTAATTATAGATTTGCTTTTTTAGACCGTTACAAGATTGGATCCCTATTTTATTGCACTTCATTGTCAAGAAGTTGGAGGAAAAAATTATGAAGAAAGCATGAAACATGTTAAATTTTTCGTTAGGTATTAACACTTTTAAAATATTATTTGAACAAGTTAGGATGATAAAATAACAAAAAAAAATAAAAGATAGGTTTATACTTCTTTATTTTTAATAAAAATATCAGATGTACTTTTTATTCGTGTTTTAATTAATTAATTATAAACCTAAAATATCGTGCTAAATTGTTAAAATTCTTTAAATAGAATATTTATCAATTTTTCATATTTAATTTTTTAGTCTTCTAATGAATAGCAAAGAACTGAGGATCTTCAATCGAGCGCAAGTCTTTTTGGATGAAGAATTTACTTCGGCAGAAAACTTTACAGTAACTAGCCAAATATAATTGTTACGGTATATTTTTATTTTCGGCTTCCGAACTTTCATTCAGTTCGATGTTTTTACTTTTAACTTCATAGCCTCAAATATAAATAAATCATTGTATTTATCATATTTTTCATTAGTAAAAAAATTATATTATGCATTAATTTCTTTACTCATTTATACTTTTTTCAAATACTAATGTCTCTCGAATGTCTGTAATACTAGATAAATTATTTTTACGAAAAAATGTTTATAATTTTTATATGGTTGAATAGTTTTACTTATATAAAATTTAACTCAAACCCGTCTATAACCTCTTTGTAAAGTTGTTAGTTTATGGTGTAAATATTTGATTTGTTATAAGTTGAATTGAAAGATAAAATAAATCTTCCCTGATACACATTTTTTTTTTGAAATATTGTTTTTATAATGCAACTATAACACATAATGTTAAAAGAATTTTTTTACATTATTTTTTAAAATTACTATCTAGGTTAGGATTTATTAAAAATTGGAAAAGAGCAAAATTATTTAAAAAATAAATAATGAAGGATTATATATTTTTATTGGAAATTTCCACTTCAGTAATGATTATGTTTTTTTAAATAATTACAGCAAGCATATTGTACAAATATAACATCAATATTATTGTGTAAGGGTTTTTTCAACATTTAAATAATGACTGGGATTAACCAATAAATAAGCCGAATATAATATGAAACAATGAACTAGAATGTTTAATAAATATTTGGAGGGCTTATTATTATTCGTATCAGTCTTGGACAGAACTGAGTTTTTAAATTTTCTTTGAATGAACCGAAAAAAGAATAATATTTTTTAACGGGTCACAGAATTAAAACGTCGGGGTTTTTGAAAATACACCTGGATTTAATATTTACATATTCAATTGTCTGTTTTATTAAGTAATTTAATCATAACACAAATAAGAATATGTCTTGTATTTGTCTTCTACTTTTAAATGAAAAAAATCGATAAACATTAATTTTTTTGCGAAATAAAAAAAAATATACATTTCTTATATAGGTTAGTTAATCTAAAAATGTTAGAAAATATTAACCAATTTTTCTTACCGATCTGGTCGGGGTTTTTGATTTTTTCTTAAAAAAGCCGTAAGAATTAATCATAAATTAATGAATATGTCAATTAGAAAATTATCATATAATACATGATATTTTTAATGTGTATTGTTAATCAGACAAAATTTTTTTCAGGCTCTTGGTAATATGTATTTTATACATAAATCAATAAATGATGTATTGTTATGGGATTTCAAAGGTAATTGTTTCTTTAAATTTAGTTTACAAATGTATGGGTTTTTGTGTCAAAATTTATANTAGTTTACAAATGTATGGGTTTTTGTGTCAAAATTTATATAATGAAATTTGGAACTAAATTTTTACTAATTAATGTTTTTTAGTTATTTATTTTAAATGAAATACTTTTTTTTTTTTTTTTAATTGACTTTAGACTTACAGTTTATACCCATAACTGAGACTAATGTTTACTCTGGAAGTATTGAAGATGTGTCCACCAAGGAAAAATCAAAATTCCCTCAAGAGTTTTTTCCAGAGGTGAAATAACATAGTATTTTACATTTATATTTAATTTTTTTTATTTAACTATAAAAAATAAGTTTTATAAGTTTTTATATGATAGTGCAAATGGTCTCGTAAGGGGTTTTTGAGAACTAGATGGAAACTTAATGGATCTACCTTTGATCTTGTTAATATTCATTTGTTTCACGATGCATCGAATTTCACTGCAATGGAATCTGTAAGTTTTCGAACCAATAATCATAAAACTACTATTTCTTTAAATTTGTTATATTTTGTATAAAGTTCGAGGTGTCAAAAATATGATAATAAAGGTGCAAAATCATTTTCGTGTTAGTATAGACTTGT